TGCCGGCTAGTCCGAATTAGGTTTTCCTGCAGTTTTCCTGATTTGTAGTAGAGAACAACTTAAGATCTTCTGCAGAGGCACCGTTAACTCTGTAATTGAGCAAAAGTCTGTTGAGGGCCCAGAACAAGAGGGACAATAGTACTCGAGTTTTGATGTTCGCGGTGAAATTAATGCTAGACCATGCTAAATCTGTCATAATGACACCGTCGTAGATTAATCATGATTAATTATTAACTAATTTTTATGGGTTTACCACTTTACAGCTCTGTTAAAACTTCATAAAGAAATCCCACTCCTACGGGTAAAGTGCCTGAGGTCAATTTATTGCTGAGATAATTTTCGTGCGAATCCACCTAGTATATTGCGGGTCACTCTGTAATTGGGCGGAAGCCTGTTGAGGGCCCAGAACAAGAGATGGATAATAAACAATAAATATTAATTGCTCACCAAATTGCAAATGTGAAATTAAAAGACGGGAGTCGTGCTTAATATCCATTCAGTTGACGGTACAAACTCGGGAAGGAAATCAATTGATCTTCCGCGCGTGTTTTGTTCTGTATTGAAAATCTGTTCTTAGATTTTGACTCTGCATTGTTAAAAGTGGCGCTTTGACGTGGCCATGAGATACCTTATTCTGACAATGAGGTTTGGATGAATGTATTCTGACCCCACTTCAAAAGCAATATACATTAGATGGAAGAGTTTGAAAATCAAATTTGGGTCACTTCATAACAAAAATGTAAATTAAGTAATATAATAATTGAAATAATAAATTAATTTAAATATTATTAGTTTCACAGCTGTTTACTGTTACAAGAATCCTTTGAATTACAAGAAGTGCAATTGCGAGCCCCTTTTTCATGTTTCAGGATAGCACAGACATCGTTTCCGAATTTATGGTAATCACACCCTCTCACTACGTTGTTAACACCATTATCTATCAAACAAATAAAATTAGACGACGTGCAAAACTACCACCATCTGACTTACTGTTAAACCAATAACTAACACATGCCGATGTAAACCTGGTGCTGGGACAGAAAGTGGTGCGGTCTGTAAGTCCGTCCTGGCACGCGCTCCGCTCTATGTCCTGGCACTTCAGACAATGCAGAGCTAAAATCACGTTCGTTTTGTAACCCAATAATCGAGCAACAAATAAGTACAAACCTGCAGCAACCCCACACAAAACGACAGTAACTAAAACAACCCTCAGAGACATTATTTGAGTTTACAGTTTTGAAACGGTATAAGTCAATGATCTGGTGCCCTGGGAGTAACATATTTATATGCGACCCGTTCAAGTGGCCGCTAAATTATTTTATCTCGACAAGTATTAGATCAACGAGAAATAGATTGGACCTCGGATTGGACTTTTTTGTGATTGATATGACAACTACTCCATTAGGATTTTAGCGTATTGTTCTTCTTTCAGAAGACTATCACCCAACTTATTATCTATTGGTAGCTGAGTTACAAAAAAAGAGATTTTGCTGTTCTGAAATTTTATGGCAACGAATGGTTCAAAGTAGGCTAGTTGAACCGAAGTTACCATGTCGAATTTTGCAATTTAAAGTTCAAAATTCAAGATGATGACTTGAAACTATACCGCAAGTCGCCAAAATTTAGATGGCTTCAGATCGTTCAAAATTAATCTTGCTATGTGTTATCTTTTCCACGGTTTACGTGATTAGAGAAAAAATCATTTTGACAATAGGTTTTCTTCAGTGGATTTGGTTTAGGATCTACAAACAAATTTGCTCCCGCCATATCTACAGACAAAACACAGTATAAGCCAGTACAAAGTAATGATCTAAACCAGGGGTGCTCAAACGGTCGATCTCGAGTGCTTTTTGAGTCGACCTCAAGAAATATTTGCGATTTTCAGAGCAAAACATCATTTTTCTTGCAAAAAAATTCCACGCGCTCCACTTCGCGTCGTGCGTCCCCCACAACATGCAATTCGTATGCGCCATGGACAGAACAAACCGCGCGGAAACGACAATCGCGCCCTCCCCCTTCTTGCCGGAACGAAAATAGCTAAGTGTGCGCACCCTTAACGGCTACGGATTCACCAAAGTACCGACCCCGTGCATTAAACCACTTCGCCGCATCCAATTTAACTTGAGAACTCCTATCTAGGTCGTAATTTGGGCTCGATTAATCGGAAAACCAACAATTTACAGATGAACAAATTATTCGACATCAACCAATCAAATAAGGTGAAACAAAAACAGGCACTCAGGGCCAGAATAACACATACAGCGCAACAAGCGATTGATAGCAGCGGTCGACTTCCGGGGTAGAACCGTGTCAATGTTGAACGAAAAGTCAACCTTTCGTCCAGAACACACACTGTAGCTACATCGTGTCGCTGTCGCGTTGCTGCCGCGCCGCTTTGGTGGGACAAGGGCCTTACTTACCCCACTAAAGTGCACTGAAAATGGGAAGGCTAGATTATCTAGCTATTTAAACCTACTGACAAAACTGGTTATCTTACAAAGAGCTTCAATACCGGATACAACAAATAACGCCCACCAAGCAAGAAGCTTAACCGAAAGGCCTCGATTAATGTCTCCTTCTTCGATTTAAAACAAATTCCCTTTCTTTTTAACTTTCCGCCCTCCTTCCATAACAAATTAATTCGTCGTTGAACGATAAACTGCGCCTGTGCTCTCTTATCGATGCAAAAACATCTGCGATAACACGTGCCTAGCTTGAAACTAGTTAGCTTACACAGCGATAAAAAAACTTATCTACGACCGGAGACAAACATGAGATAAACTACAACTACAAATACTGAGCGAATAAGTTCTAGATTCATTCCAGACTTTTAACACTTAAATTTACGATTGCCAAAACAAAACAATCATTTAAACAAAACCAAACATCAAATATATAATAATTCGGAAACATCATCCTCGAATTCAACCAATATGATCGAGATTGTGCTTAATTTCAAATTCCAAAAAACATTTAACGTTAATAATAAATCGTTGGTCTAGCGCACAAAGGTGCCAAGTGAAAAATAGGCTATTTGCATACTTACAAAAATAAATAAAACTGGTGTATCAATTAAAATAAGTTTTGTTTTTGAACGAATTATTTATTTTTTTTGTAAACTGTACACAACTTTTTGATAATACAATTGAAAAAATTTTAATAAATCCTTAACTTCTTCGTTACCTAATGTATTTGACTCATGTTGCAAAAAATATCACTTAACACCTGTGTGCGCTAGACCAACGAAATGAAATACAAATACAGGGTAGACCGGCATCAAGTGTTCTGTAACCGGCATTCTCTCCTGCCGACCCTAATAATTCAGTCGGCTTTTAATGCCATGATTGCAATGGAAAAGCCACTTAACGTTTGCTTACAAAGAATCACACACTTTGTAAACAAAATGACTTCGGTTAAAAAATATATACACTGTCCATTGAATGGATTGTTGCAAAAGCAGAAGAAAAGTTGGTAGGTGCAAAATCCTCCGCCGTAATGGAACGCCATTTTTTATATTTTTCGCCGAGAAAAAAAGCGTTTCACCCCCGAAAAGCACATTTTTCTTTTAAAAAAATCCTACGCACTCCGCTTTACTTCCACCGTACCGTACTTAAAAACGACTCCGTGCGCCCTCCACTGACTCCCGAGGGGACGGCGCCGTACCGAAAATATGTCCAGAAGTACGCATCCCTAACGCACGCTATTACTACCCCCACCCCCCACCCCAGCCGAAGACCTGATTTAATATCCTCCTACACTAGATTGGGTTGTACCCATGGCGTTTACTTAAGAAATATAACTACATTCCAAAAATACTCCCAAACTAATTTGGGACCAATAGTATACCGGATGTTCTTAAATGTAAAATCTGAATATAAGGCATTTAGGCATAACATACCTTCACCCTCAGCTTTACACCTTGCGTGTCGATTGCAGCCCCCCTAGATACCGATGTAGGTAATATTACTGTGAGGAATGTACCTGCACCAAATCCAATTAAGAAAACACAACATAGCAAGATAGGTAAGTTCCAACGATTGTGTCGCCATCTTTGTTTTGGTCACTTCCGATGTTGCGTTGTAGTTTCAAAACACCATCTTGCACTATGAATTTTAAGTTGCAAAATCCCACATGACAACAACATTCGGTTTAACTAATCTTCCTAAACCGCTTGTTTCTAAAATCCTGAAGAAAAGCTAAATTTCTTCTTTTTAACTCGGGTACCAAACCAAAATAGGTTGTGTTTAATCTTAAAGAATCTTAATGGAGTAGTTGTCATGTCAACCATAAAAATGTCTAATTTATGTCTCCGTGATATAATACTTGCCGAGATAAATTAATTTATCGGACACTTGAACCTTTCGCCTATAAACAATCAATTATTGACTCACCGTTTCAAAACTGTAAACTTAAATAATGTCTTTGAGTTTCAGTTACTGCCGTTTTGTGTGGATTTGCTGCAGGTTCGTATTAATTTCTTTTCCTAATTAATGTGATTTTAGCTCCGCATTGTCTGCAGGGCCGGGATATATAAAGTAGCGCGTGCCAAGACGGAGTTCTAGACCACACAATTTTCTGTCACAGCACCAGGTTTACATCCGCATGTGTTAGTAGCAGTAGCATTACAAAGTTTATCTTTTTATTTATTTAAATACCTATAAAACCTTCGCGCCTAATATATCTTGCTTTGAAATGGCGCCAAAAGATCCACTAAACTCCATAGTCAGAATAAAGTTTCTTATGATCGATACGGCGCTTTTAACAATGCAGAGCCAAACTGAAGACTGAATTGTGGTCACGTTGCTCATTGTTCTGTTTTTAGTAATTAAGTACAATACAGAACAAAACCCGCGTCGAAGATCAACTGAGTACTTGACGCTCCCCACTCTTCTTTTTAAATTTTCTAACGCGCCTACACAATGGTGCTAATATGTTAAATAGGCCATCTTTAACCATTAACCAATCGGCTTGATATTCTTACGCCAATCAAATGTGTTACTCCCAACTACCAAAATATCACAAAAATACTCTCCAATCTTACAAAATTAGTTATAGTATTCCATGAACTGTCATTCTGACAATTCTGCAACATATGCAATTTGTAAGACTTCTAACCCTTACATTACTAGTCGCGAGTCACTTTGTATCTTCGAAACATCTTCAACACAAGGAGGTGGCTAGACTTCTTCAAATGTACCATCCCTTTCTAAAAGACGAGCGACTAACGAAGAGCATGAAGTCGTTGCTTTACGGAACCGAACGATGGAAACGTGAGAGCGCACCGACACGCAAATTAGATTACAACATGTTTGCCAAATTAGTAGAGATGTTGGACACTTCGACTTCAGAAACTAGTGCGAAAGAAGAAGTGGATCTGCAGGGTCTTGATACTACTAACACCACGGAGTCCATGGAGTGGTACATTCTGAGTGGTGGGCAGACGACGCAATCAAAGCGCGGGAAGAAGAATCGAAAGAAGACTACGACTAAGAAGACTACCACAGTCGAGACCACAGTACCACCAGTTTTGTAATAATAAAACTTAAAATGAACTGATTTGTTGGTATCCGGCTCGGTGGAAACCAGTAACCTTCGAGTGACGGTCTGTGTATTTTTAACGGATTTTCCAACTCGTATTGAAAGGCGCTATTATGGTCACTTTCTCCGTGCGTCCGAGGCCCTAACTACTCCTACAATTTTCAAGATAATATTTAGTTCGTTCGTTTTGCATTCTATAGCTCACAGCTCTGGCACCTGAGCCAAGAAAAATATTGACGATTAATGTGCTGTCATCATTTAGCTCCTCCAAAAACCTTCAATTTTTGATAATAATGTCTTATCCCTATCTCTGATAGTTTTCAAAATATCTTGGTTTTCTTGGCGCCACCTATTGCGCAATAGCAATAGTTTTTTCCTGCTACCACGACAATTCCAATCTTTTATATATTTTTTTAAAACGGGCCATTTCTTCAAAAACAGCCAATTTCCTACACTTTCTGACAATTTTTTTCGAAAAATACGCTACCCCTCCGGATACGAAACCGATACCAAATGAATTAATAAATATGATTTTAGCTTTGAACGGGACAGATAAAAATTGCCTTTTTTGCATTATGTAAATTACATATAACTTATTTAAGATTAGAATATAAAAACCAGGAAAACCAAGATATTTCGAAAAATATCAGAGATAGGTATAGGACATTATTATCAAAAGTTGAAGGTTTTTGGAGGAGCTAAATAATGACAGAAAAATATACAGGGTGTTCCATTTAAAGTGAGATTTTTTAATATGAAGTTTTGTAACTTTGGATCTACAAAAAACACCCTATAAGCTTTTTTTTAACGTTTTATAGTAATGTATTTACTTGACTTTTATTTAACCCAGGATAAAAGATATAAAACCTGGAATCAAAATTTAAGTAATAATTTTGACAATATACTGGCGCTTGCAAATGCCCAATTTTTCATAAAAATCGAATTGTCTTTAAAACTACTAGCTTTTCGGATATTGACCATATAATAAAAAAGACGTACAATTAAAAAATGCATTCAAATACAAAGCGTTCTATTTAAAAAAATGTAGAATTTGGGCGCCCTACTTCGTGGGCGCATCCTGTATAATTCCAAATAATTTTTAAATGTGGAGAATATTCAACCATATCATAATACAAAAGCACTCTATCGAAAAATCTTATCTTCAAGGAATTAAGTTATTCTGCGCAATCGTTGCATCACCCTGTACAATCTGGGCGCGTTAAAAATTAGATTCGAAGGCGAATTTGTCTATCTTTGAACATTTATTCGCGTATCATCGCATAACATTTTAGGTGCGTTGAAATTGAATTCATAGCGATGTTTTATAAAAGCAGGTGCATACCACTTTATGTACGAGAGATTTTATTTCGCCAATGTATGAATATTTCCTGTCGAAATTCAAGAACCAAGACGGGCATTTATTAAGTAAAATTCGGGTTCGTGACAAATTGTTACCTGCAATTTTATGTGAACGAAGAAACGAACTACAGTAAACTCAGGGGCAAAAAAAACGATTTAGCAGCCTGATTAGTCGTTTTGTTACACGAGTGATAAAATCTACGCGATGGAACATTTTCGAGTCTGTGAATTACTTTTGAAATCAAACCGTAAGTAAATAAACTGATGACTCATAGTGAAAAACAAAGACATTTTTTCGGTACAGTAACGGCTGGTTAAAAGCAAATTACTCAAAGTTGAGTGACGTATTAGGATAACGCAAATTTTGTATACAAGGGCGGGCGGCAGGGAATTTAAAGGCAATTAATTGGCTGTATCGCTGAAAGGCTCGTTCCAGAAATCCAAAGAATTAGAGTGACACAGCTGCTACGTATACTACTAATTTTTAAAACGGTTTTTAAAACCAGATTCAACTGCTCTTCTCATCTTAACGACCAATATGGAAGAAAACACCCTCAGAAAAGTCATGAAATATACGCATTTGGACGCAGCTTAATCAGGAGTTAAGTAAAGATAAACACCAGAGAACAGAACTGCTATTCCTTTGCAAGATTCTCGATACTCTTGATGAAATTTATAGAATCAGAAGGTACCGAAAGCCTATGTTCATTTGAGTGTGTAAGGCAAAGTAATAATGTACTACAACAGCAAGTTCTCGTCTCAAATTCAGGCGCTACCGAGGGCGCTACGTTTATTGCAGGGAAGAAGGACGGAAAGTTGAAATGCAAGTACTGCCGAGCTATCGCAGAGGGTTTCATATGGCATACTTCCCGAGACGCAGTTAAGGATAAGCTCCCCTTAATGCTAAGTCAGACCAAGAATGCAGGACATATTAATGGAATTCAACAAGTAATGCCCTACACGCCAGAACAAAATGCCTCAAGAGCTCTGGACAGAACTAATAAACACGGTCGCGTATATTCTCAATAGAACCGACCCACGGTCTCTAGCCAACCATAGTCAGTTTGGGGTAACAACTACATTAAGGTTACGTCTTTTTTCGTACACTGTCTGGAAGTATAAGCTATGCTACAATCTTAATTGAGTAGTTGTCATGTCAACTATAAAAATATATAATCTACTTCTCGTTGATCTACTTATCGAATGTCGAGATAATTTATCTGCCACTCGAGCAGTTGGCCTATAAATGCGCTACGCACAGGTAAGAGATCGATCGATTTATCGTTTCAAACTTGTACTTAAACCATGTTTTTAAGGGTTGTGTTGGTTGCTGCGTTGTTGTGTGGGGTTGCTTCAGGTTTGTATTAGTTTTTTTTTCGTAACTTGTTTCAAAATCAATGCGATTTTAGCTCTGTATTGTCTACACTGCCAGGGCACAGAAAGTAGCCAGTGTCAAAAGGGAATTGCGGAGGATTTCGCTTATTGCTTCAACAAGACTAATCCTGGATACTGTGTTAGTTATTGGTTCAACAGTAAGTAAGGCGTTGGCGGTCTTGCACGTCATCTAATTTTTATTTATTTAATAGAGAACGGCGTTAACACAGTCGCGAGAGGGTGTGAGTACCATAAGTTTGGAACCGACGTCTGCGATACCCTGAAACAAGAAAAAGGGGCGCGCGATTGCACTTTCTGCGATTCGGAGGATTTCTGTAACCAGGAACTGCTGTGAACGTGTGTTATATTAATTATTTAATTTATGTTTTTCGTTAATTTGGCACCATCACTATAGAATTTTGTTAAAGGGTTATAATAAAGTGTTCATTCATTGTTGAAGTATGGAATTTATTGCAATTGAGCAATTACAAACAGCACCTTCCTAGGGTCGTTTTTGTTTTTTTTTAGATTAGCTACGTATAATGTATGGTACTTTACCTTTCCCGAGTGCTAATGAGGACGGTTAGAGCCTCTAATTTCATCCCTTTGCCACCGTAACTGTTAAGTACCGTGAAACATTGAGAGATGTTTTTATTTTAGAAACAAACTTTTGTAGCTAGGTGGGTATAATTTATTCGTTCTCAGTAATTGGATATAAATTTCGGCTATTTAGCAAATTATCCCCGACATTCTTAATTATGCTTCAGGAAAAAAAGAAACAAAAGGTACATTATTAGTGACAGAGAGCTTGACGATACTGAGTCAGAATTCGAGTTAAAAGATTTTGAAAATCTTAGCATTGATTTATGCTCTTCATGTCATTATAAATTTGGGTCGTTGACAGGGAAAATTAAGTTTTTACATCGGAAGTGCCTCTCTCTTCCCGTGTTTCCGTTTTGAATATTAGCCATAAAATGCGAAATTAGGCGCATTCATGTATTATTCAGGTGTATTTTTGAATTCATCCTTCACGTTTTGCAATTTAAAATTATTTATTTATTCGTTTATAATTTCAACGTGACCTCTTTCGTAACGGTTGACAAAAGTCGAGATCAAGAGATTGGTCAGGGTAATGGCAAAAGCAGTGCATCTAAAATAATCATCTTAAGGAGAATAATTGGATTCAGTTTCTTATTTACATTAAGTGTCAGGTAATAAACTGGCGAATATCGCATCTCACTTCTACTAAAAAGAAAATTCCTAATACCGACTCAATATTTTTCAATTTGCGAGACTCGGTAGCCTCCATCAACCTCTGAAAATTCCAACGAATCTATTACACTACTTTTGATTAACACTTGAAATAATACCAGGGCACGAATAAAAAAAATCTGATATGAAAACTCTATCTGGGTCGCACTTTGGGTTCGAATAAACTGACAATGCCTGTATGGACTATTACCCCGCACGCAAGTGGTCGACAATTAAAATAAAAATCTTTACTGGTAGTTTTTTCCTATCCAAACTTCACTTGCTTTATAACACGGAATTAGATGACAAACAAAACTGGCTTGATGAATCAGATGATAAATTTTGCACACGACGAAACTGTTTCCGTAATTGGTCAACACGCGTTAAATTTCTCAGATCTCAGATTAACTTGCTTTTGCACAAATTTATTATAAAAAATGACGAACTGCGTCTTCAACAAAACAAATTGACTGCCCGAAAATGTAACGTAAAAAGACGTACACGCTCTTTAACCGTCGCGAAACCAGCCTGGTTTTTACGTTGATGCCAGTATTTAAAGGACCACCACTTCCACTTACGCCATAATTCCCTTCTTTAACCGAATTTCAAAAACCTCGCAAATCACCCAATACCAGCTTCGAAGGAACGCGTTAACAACGTCCCAACGTTCTAACCAAAGATACGCAATTGTCCGTAAAACCTACATCTTCGTTATCAGCACCAAATGTGCATTTTCTTAGCCTAATACACGCTCCTTATCGTAAACGAATAAACAAAAACCATTTACAAAGTACGAAAACTGGACCAGGCTGCCTAAGTTAAAGCATCTAAATTGAACAGTTTAAAAACGATAAAATTAAAACAAATCTACGCCATTACAAACAATTCTAAAAGAAAAAAAAATTGAAATACAAATTCAAATGAAACGAATTAACTTTGTTTATTTTGTAAATTTACTTAATAAATTAAATTATTCCCATATACAGGAAGAAATAACGACGTTGTTTACACAACAGTGTATGATTATTCGCGAAGAAAAATTGCGGTGGGTAGCGCGGATTCAAAGAAAAAGAAGGAAAGTTGCGGACAATCCTGAGCCAGAACCCCCCACAGGACCCGCCTGGACGCTTTCAATCGGATCCGTGAGTCAAACTGAGGTTGCTTTGACTCGAAAAACAACCACCGCGGTCCATAGACCCTATCCACAAGCATCGAACAGCACCTGACCGACCTTTCCGATCGGAAACTAAGCCAGACCCGTAACGAGGATGAAGTGGCAGGAGTTGCCGGTATTTTCTTAAGTGGGGCTTACGAAAAAGGACCGTCAGATAAATAGTAATGTCATTTCCCTGACTGTTATGTAAAATCTATAGACTGAGAAATGAGTAATTTTTGTATTATTAAGTGATAATCAAGTACAACGCCCTCAAAATATTCATTTCAATGGAGCTACTCTCCAAAAGAAGTTTCATGGAATCTCCCCCCTCCACCCTAACATATTGAAGACGCGAGTTGTCAAGTTTGCGTTGGTTCCGTTTCAGTTTTCCTGGCCGGCACGATGTACAGATAAGAGTAGTATATTGCGGTTGGTGGAGAACACGTCGGAGGGTGCCGAATAGGCGCGGGTGCTGACGGATTTCCGGTTCCATTTCGGTTTTTCTATGCGGCTTTCTTAGGAAAGGGAAATGTAGAGAGAAGCGATGCGGCAGTTTGAACGTAAAGGTGGTTAAAACAATTTGATTGCGAAACACAAAAGTTTTGACCGTCAAAAAGAAAGTTTTCAATTTTGCAGCTTCTCCCATTTAGGTACAAAATTATCTCAAATATAGTAATATATCAAATAAAGTAAGATTTTAAATTTTCAACATGGTTATACCCAAATCATTATAAAGCGGAAGTAACTTTAGCTGTGAAAATGCACACTTAGGGAATTATTTTGTTTTCCAATGCTAGTTTGGGGACGGAAGATCTGTTTTCAGTATCAATAACTTAGATTTACCTTATGCATGAGTCCGTGGATGAACAAAATGGAATTAACAAAAACATTTCAAGATGTCAGATGCCCAAGACGTTGTCAATGTGATGTACCGGGTGACCCAATAAGACTGTTCCTCGGCCATATCTCGGGAACCGTTCGCCGTATGACTTAGGGGTAAAAAATTATTGGGTAAATCGCTGCAAAATATTTGTTCTAAAAATGATCACCAGAGGGCGTAACTGCCATCTTAAATTTTAAAATTGCATTTTCTTTAAATTTCGCATAATAATCTAAAAACTTTTTTTTCACATTTTTAAAGAGAACCAGTTTATCTATTATTTTCGTAAAGACAAAAACTCAGTTATTTCAAAAACAAAGATGGCGTGGGTCGTTCAATTGTTTTTGCAATAACCTGCTTTAACTTCTTAACCGTTTTATCGATTGTAACAAATTTGGTATTATTGAAAAGAGCATGCCTTGGGCAACAAGAATCGACATACAATATAGTTAATTTAGTTGAATCCTTCTCCGCCAGAGGGCTCGTTTTGACACTATGATCCAAAATCCTAAAAAAATCAAATGGGATGATATGACTTTTTCTTTATGAAAAAGTACCCAAATAACATCCAAAGAGGCCAGTGAAAACCGTTTTTCAAAATCTCGTTCCTAACCTCAAATATTGGGAAAATGAGATTAATAATTAATAAAAATGCTTAAATTGTATCTTATATGACGTATTTCCGGTATTGGTCGATGGCGCGAAAGATTGTTTGCAAAAGGACCCTACACTTTTAGGTAGGCCTTGGAAAATTAAACAAATGAAACACGATGCATTATAAAATAATAACAGCGGTACTTTGTAAATTATTCTGTTGTGTTTATATTCAGAAGGTGCAGTTTTTTGAATTTTTAATCTTTTCTAAAACGCAGATTTCTAACCAAGAAGCATTTAATACGCTGGCGGCGATGGTTCGTGGTCGATTCAGATAACGCAAATAGAAGATGTGGGCAGCGATGATCGCATTTTGAAAATACTCAAAATATATTGCCAGCATATTAAATGCTTTTACGAAAATAATAGATAAACTGGTTCTCTTTAAAAATGTGAAAGAAGAATGTTTAGTTTATTATGCAAAATTTAAAGAAAATGCAATTTTAAAATTTAAGATGGCAGTTACGCCCTCTGTTGGTCATTTTTAGAACTTGAAAATATTTTCCAGTGATTTTTCATGACCGATTTACCCAATAATTTTTTTTACCCCTAAGTCATACGACGAACGGTTCTCGAGATATGGCCGAGCAACAGTCTTATTGGGTCACCCGGTACAATGTACATCACATTGACGTCTTGGGGATCTGACATCTTGAAATGATTTTGTCGAAGTTTTGACAAACATGTAAAAATCGCTCTTTATATGAGCTACATTTTAGTGAGAAAACATCCAAAGGCATTCCCTCGATGACCCAGAATTGACTTTCGTGCATTATCGATGTCCTATATATGTCAATTAATTGAATTTTTTTTCCTTCCCCGTCACGGATCACTTGCCTCGATTTTTTTGTGTGTTTTCTTCTCGTCTCGTCGGACCTGCACAACCATTCTTTCATATTCTTCACGTTTTCTTAACTTTTTCTCATTTATCATTTTTGCTTTTACCCCTCATTTATGCTTCCTCCCGTCTCATTACGTTTTAAGCCTTCTCGCCTTGTTTCTTCAGGCCTTTCGCGTTTTCTTGATACCGTCTTGGCACTTCTTTCTGGCCGTCTTCTAGACGACCTTTCACGCCTCTTACATTCGCCCCTGTTTCCTTTATGCAATTCTTTATTAAAGCGTTTTTAATTATTCCCTAAGAACCTTTTTCCTTCACAATTCCTTGTCGCGCTGCGGACGAAGAGAAGAAAACAAGAAGCACGTTTCCACGGCGGTATGCAAACTAGGATTCTGTAGCCGGTCCGTGCAAAGTGCATCTGAAGGGCCAATTTCGTTCTCCACAGCTGTAGAAACGGTCTCAGACTAGAAGTATATAGCCGGTCCGCGCTGGAGGAGGGACCATTTTTATTCTAAAAGCAGTACCAAAACGCATCTAGAACTCCTGGTGCACAAACAATAAAGGGATTTATAGAAAATCATTCGTTATATTTGAACTAGAGTCGTAGTGCATTGATTTAATTATGACTTATTGAAGAGAATTTTATG